AGTGCACAGTGCCATATCTCCCTCAAATACTTGTCCCCCAGCGACAACCTGTACTCCATCGCTGCCATAACGAATGGTATGCCCAATTTTTTCATAAAGAATAGGTACATTTTCGGCCAATGCCTGAACTAGTCTTCCATTTCCTCCGGGCAGGAAGCAGTGATCCCCTCCCATGTCAAAGGGGTCATCTTGGTCCCAAAATGCTAAAGAAAGCTTAGAAATCAGACCTGCATTTGCATATTCCAGATTAGCAAGATGCCAATTAAATAAACCCATCTCCTCTTCATTCACTCCATCATCATAATCCTGACGGAATGTCTCCAATGCTGCTCCAAGAGAAACATCCTGAGAAACTTCTCCCATTAACTGCCTGAGCTTGCTTGCCTTCTCCAAGAGTAGGTTATAAGCAGCCTCCACCTTCTGATCCAAATCAGGATCAACTGGCTTCCCATCCACACGATAAAGTGGACATTTGTCTCTAACCTTATGAAGCGTGTAAGATAGCTGTCGTGCCAAGAGACCTAATGGATTCCCTAGCGTCCCCGTCAACACACTACCTCCTAAATCAGCAGCAGCCACCTTATTCCCACCTTCCATCTTTTTCGTATACACCCTTCCACCGGCACGCTTTCTACCCTCCAGAACCGTAACCTTAAACCCAAACAACATCAACTGCCTCGCTGCAGCCAACCCCGCAAGTCCCGCCCCAATAATAATCACGCTACCCTTACTCGGCTCAGCCGGAATCCTATCCTTAACAACCGGTGCAACTCCAAAATTAATATACCCACGCGACACCACATAATTATAAGCAGAATCCAACAGACCACTACAATGCTTAGGTATAACATCGATGAACATCTCTTTTGTTATCCAAGTGGACACATTTTCCCGCCATTTGGAAATTATATGGTTCCTAATAAGAATATAATTAACCTGTTCAATACCACCCACTGCAGAAACAACCCCAGCTTCAATTTCCTCATCAGTCAAAGAATCAGCTGGAAAACCAGCCGTTAAAGCGATTAACGCCTCAGTCGTTGCCTCTTTATTAATTACAATAATCTCATCCAAAGTATCATTAGCAGTAATCGTTCTAACAGCATTTAAATTACCCACAAAATTCGAATTTATTAAGTTGTTTGAGGAATTGGGAAAATTGTGATATACCTGATTCAAAGGCAAATTTCGGGGCCTACCTCGTCTCCTTTTCCTCGGGATAGAGAGAGAAAGAAGCTCGTCTGAAATTGAATTAGAATTAGGGTTAGGGTTTGAAATTGGAGTGAAATTGGGAGTAGAATTAGGGTTTAAATTGGGCAAATGAATGGTGAATTGAAGAGGATTGTTACTAGTAATATACGGTACAGATTGAGGAGAATTATCATTTGAAGAATCCATGGCTGTTACTGTATTTTTGCAACAGTTACAGTACTGGGAAAGAGAAGAGAGACGATGAAGAAAATATATTCGGGTTTGAGCGGGTGATCCAATATCAAATGGTTTAAAAACCAATTCATAGGAAAGCAAAAAATCATACGTTGGATATGTGACAAGTATATAATAAAGTTGAATGAGATATGTATATGGCATTACGGTAAAAATGGGTTTTGATTGTACTTTCATTGATTAGATGAAGCAATATATAATAATTTTATCTTTCTTGTTCAGCATAAAAGGATTTTCAGCTTTGTTAAATCATTTTAAAATGGTTAAAAATTTATATAGATTAAGATTAGCACGAAAAACTCGAGATGTAACTCATTTGTTGTTTACCAATGATTCTGTGATTTTTAGTTTGGTTGACATGGAGAGTGCTACAAGTGATTCTGGAATCTATGCAAGATGTTGACACCGATATTATAAGATCATTCTTCGTACTTCTTCATGACTTTGATGGTTTGCGCGCAGGAGGATCATCAAAGGTTTGGAGAAAGAGATAGATTGCTGACTAGAGTAGGGTGTACAGTGCTAGGGTTACAAATTGAATTTGGAAATCTACGCATGATGTTGACACGGAGAGTGCTAGGGGTATAAAAGGATTATGGAAATCTATGCAAGATGTTTGATATCGATACCAAAAGATCGGTCTTCATCACTTCTTCTTGACTTTGATGGTTTGCGCACAGAAGGATCATCGAAGGTTGGAGAAAAAGATAGAGCTGACTAGAGCAAGGGTAGAGTGGTTGTGTATATCGGTAACTGTTGGCGTTAAAATCGAAAATGAATTTAATGCAAATTGATAGAATCCAAGAAATGATCAAAATAGAACTGGTTTTCGAATTTGATTATGTAAAATAATTCAATCAATCAATTCAAATTAATGTGTTGAATTATGTGTTCATCGAATTGAATATTCACCCTTCCCGCATTTAAAGACAAACTAATGTTCAAGACTTTCTGCTTTCATGAAAATCTATTCTTCTTTGATCGTTGGAGATATAGATAAATGTCTAATCCTGATAAACCTAATTTTACGTTATAATACTCCAGAAGATCAAAAGATTATATTTGATCGATTTTAGGATAAATGAGCATCTATTATCAGGGAATCTATTTAGGATTATTTATTATTATAGGTTAGTTAAGGAAAACTGTATGTATGTGTGTGCACGCGCGTCTTTCCTGCTTCTTTCTTATTCCAATTATATTATTATTTCAAAAATAGATTTTTTAAAGAAAATAAAAATATAAAAAAATATAGAAAAATTAGCAAGAAGAGGAACACAAAAGTTGGCTATAATTTTATACATTGTTTTCATTACAAAATACTAAATTTTTATCGATGCCATTTAAATTGAAAGAATTAAAACAATAATTCTGAATTCTCTACGATGCCTAGACCATAAAATTAAATATTTCCAAGGACAAGCAAATCAAAATCAATGGCTATATATTAAAGTATACTCTATATATTTTGAACATTTTCTACGCTCACTTTCACATATCAGGAAAACTCGTTTAAATTTTATTTCTTGTAAGCGAAAAGAGATATAACGATGGTATTTGATACAATCAAAATTAAAGAAGTACAATATGAGCATTTGATAGCAAATTAGGGAACCAAATTGTTTTAGAAATAGTAGTTTTTTGACCTATAGAATTCAATTGTTATATTTTTGCACTCCATAATGAAATTTATACCTGTCTAACACAAAAAAATTTCCTACTCTCTTGCTGATGACTTGGTCTTATTCTGTTGATTTGAAATACTTTGATCCGAAATAGAAGATTAAATAAAAAGTTACGCGACAATTTCCTCCTTAATTTTTTACTAGTTTTGGTTATTTTATTTCTTTTTCGAAAGAAAGAAGAAAAAAAAAAGAAGAAGAAGCAACATGTTACTTGCTATACTAATAGCCAATTCTGAGGGTAATATACTTGTAGAACGGTAATTAACTTCAATCTCTTCTTTCTTTGCATGTTAATTTACGGTAACAATTTTGTAATAAACTTCTCTTCTTTTCGTTTTTCTCCCTTATGAACATTTAAAATATACAGTTCTCTTATTGTATTGATAATTTAAATCGCTTATCTTAAATCTTAATTTGTAGGGTTCGATCTTATGATTTTTCCCTCTTCTTCTTCTTCTTCTCCCTTTCCCTTACATTACCAGTCCATCTCGCCCAAAACAATAAATTATCTAAGAAAAAAAAAGACATGAACTTTAATTTAACAATAGAATGGGGTATAGGTAATTTTATGTGGCATTCATCAATTTCAATTCTAATAATTTTTATTTTTATTTCTCATTGAGCAACTATAATGCAACTCTTTTTCTTCGTAAACAAAGAAATAATCACTTAATTTAACACAAGTCCGATTTATATCCTTTTATTTGCATGCAGTTTCAGTGGAGTTCCAACAGAAGAAAGTCTACATCGGCGGTCTTTCTTAGTTAGATTGGGAGCAGAAAATCTTAAAGGGGTCAAAAATGAAGAGCTTCTTGTAGCTTGTCACAAGTATGTAAAATTTAAACAATTTTTCTGCCTAATTTTACGACATTAAATTTAATAGATTAATTAAGTATTGATTGCTTGCAAATTAGTTACTCTATATAATATGGTATTTATTAATTTAACCAATGTTATCAATATTCCAGCAATACAATAATTAATGTAAAGAGATTTTGAAGATTTACAACTAGTCTTTAATTTTACATGGCTTATGTTTAAAATTTTATTTCTTCTTCAGATCAGTTTTTGTGGTATACACTATATTAGGAGGTGTCAGCATATATGTGGTTGGCAAAGAAGAATACGATGAACTTGTTTGTAAGTATATTAAGCTTCGTATTAATCATTTATTGTGCTTCATTTCATTTTGTTAGGGTCCAAATTAATCAACCTAAAGTTATGCTTAATATGGTGTGATATTGTCCGTTTTAAACTAAACATGTACGATTTTTCTCAAAAAATCTCACACTGTTAAGAAATCTTTACACATTATATGTAGGTTCCCAATTTTTTAGTTCCCAATGTGTAGGACTTTGTTCACACATCCAATAATCTTCCCATTGAACTAAGTTTCACGTGGCCCACTACCACAATTTGCAGGTCTCCCTCTTGAACCAAGCTTCACGTGGTCATTACCACGATCCACGTGCCAACTTTCGAGATTTAGTATGTGGTACCCACTTCATCAGAATATTTATGATAGCCGAAGCCCGAAACTAGCTTCTTTTGTTTCTTTGTACGTCTCTAAGCCCGTAAGGGGAAGTAAACCGAGCTCCATGACATTACTTTGCCGTCGTACTCGTCCATCGAACCTGGGCTCTGACATCAGTTGTTGAGCTAAACCAGCACAAAAATACTTTTAGCATAGTGTGATATTGTCCGTTTTGGGCCAAACCCATACAATTTCCCTAAAATGTCTCTTTTCAACTATTAGCGTGAGACTTTATTCGTTCACCCAACATATTACTAAACCATTTTTAATGAAACATGACTTACTATTCAATGTTTCTAGTTGTACACGAATATTCTAGTGAACCAAAAGCCATTTTTATTGTCCAAGTTATTAAAGTTTCAATGTGATTATCATTTAATTAATATTGTGATTTCTTTTGAAGTATCAGAAGTAATCTACGTAATTACTTCAATTGTGAGAGATGCATGCGGAAAGCCTCCAAGTGAACGTCTCTTCCTAGACAAGTATGGAAAAATATGCTTGTGTTTAGATGAAATTGTTTGTATGGTAAGTTTTCACATAATTTATACAAATAAAGATATATTTGAATAGTTAATGTTCTCTATTTTGGCAAGTGGTAATAGAATAAATTACAAAAGACTTGAGTTTGTTATTTCATTTATTGTGTCATAATGTTTTCTAATTAATATGTTTACCTTTTGTATTTTGAAGGGGTTGCTCGAAAATACAGAGAAAGACAGAATAAAAAGACTTGTGAGATTAAAACCGCCATTAGAGTTATGAGTGATTAGCGCCTCAACCTGCCTCACTTGTTTCAGCAGTGGCAGCTATGGTTTTAGCAACGTTTAGTATCCTAACATTATCACATTTGCATAAACGCGAAATTGGATTTCAAGTTATTGAATTTTTTAATTTAATCTTTTTATAGTTTTAGCATTAGTTAGTTCTAAAGTCTTGCGTTTATTACGTACTCGTTGTGGGCATATCATAAAATGCCTAAACAAACTTTTGTATATTACGCATAAAGTGATTATCACAGAGTGCTCATCCGAAGAGCAAGGACTGTGGCAGAAATTATAGCGGCGGTAGGTTTCCCCTCTTACAAAAAAAAAGTAATACACAGTGCCTAAACATGTGTTTATGCGACTCATGTTAGATATCAGTGCTACTTTGCCCGTAAGATTGGCTAATATTTCACTTGATCAAGTAATGTTTCAAAGTTTATCTAGCAACATTGGATTTAACTATCGGAAAATGGTCAATTATATCTCTCTACTTTTGTTTATTGTTCAATCTCATCCCCTGTTATACTTTCCATTCATATATACCCCTGCCGTCCAACAAAGTTCTATATTTATCCCTATTTTAACGGACATGACA